TGTTTTCCAAATATAAAGACATTTCGCTTCCCATCCAGGAAGCTTTCTCAATTCAAAATGTCTGGAGTAGCATTGAGTTAAGAAGTGGCCCAACAAAGCCTTGCTATGGCTTAGAAAAGATGCAAATTGAACCAAAAAAACAGGTCCACCCCTTAGTGATGGGGAGACATTGAGGTCGTTGGCCTGAAAACCCGATACTGGCCCATTCCTCTGGTTGGTTTTTCTTTCTCAACATAAATGGCTTCCTTCACAGCCCTTTCAATCCACCTGTCTTCTTTGTCCAAAATGTGAACATTCTGGTCCTCAGAAGACTGACCTTTGTCCATAAGGAGTAGATGTACAGCCGAGTCATGTCTGGAGGAGGTAGCTCTCCTGTGTTGGGCTGTGCGTCTGTGGAGAGGTTGTTTGGTTTCTCCAATATAAAGATCAGAGCATTCCTCACTGCATTGACCTGCATACACCATCCGCTCATCTTAGGTCTGGGGGTTTGTCTCTAGTTTGCACCAGCCTCTGTCTAAGGGTCTGTTTGGTTTGAGATGTACTGGGATTTGGTGTTTGGACAAAATCTGGCAGTTTGTGTGCAAAGATTGTAATTTATTTATTTGTAATCTGTAATTTACTGAATATGACTTTACTTTGTTCAACTGCTGGAAATACTTGATTGGGAGGCTGATTTAGAGAAATTAAATATATTTTTTTGTCAAATTTTTTATGGTAAAAGCCGGATTTAAATCATGCAATTTTAAGCATTTAAAGTATTCTACAGGCAAATATGTGACAAAATAATGCCTTTAGCTGATCATGGTATAATTTAATATGAAATATAGTTTTCTTCTAATCCTGGTGAACAACATGTCTTCAGAGTGAAGCCGCCACTCCCTGCTTAGCTACCACCCATTCTATGATGTCACCGTATCGCACTGCTTCTGAAGGCAGAACAGTCAGAGCCATTAGCTACCGTAATAAAAAATGTTGCTGCCCTTTGCAGATTAGCTGCCAAAATAACCTTTTCTCAA